TAACTTTTTAAAATTGATGAACATTTTTGGCACACAGCGTTATTTGATTGTTTCATGTTTCAATACTTCTGTTTGTGAAACTGAACTTTTCGCTGCGTCCTCTCGTCCTTCTTGTATTCAAAATTATAAAGGCATCTTTGTCTAACTTCACTTTTTCTCATAGAGTAAATACAATTGAAATGTGTACTTTGCAAAATATATTATCTTTTATGTTTAGCTGACAAATGTTTCTTTATTTGCATATTTTTTATGTTGCCAAAAATACTTGTCAAGTCTTCAATTCATTGTAAATAACTCATCTCAGGAAATTTATTAACCTAAAACATTGATATTAATATCCTCTTAAGTCTTGACCTCAGCTGACGATAAACCTTAACAGTGATTGGTCCAATCATCAGTGATAAACAGTGATTGGTCCAATCACTGTTGTATTATATACAATGTGGCGACTCTGAAGCCAGCACGGTCTTTATTTTACTCATTTATCAGTGAACCACTTTTGACCATTTCTTGCTTCAGTTTCGAATCTTGATACAATTTTTTCTACTCCTTGTTCATAGACTAAGAATATGGCATGTTCGTTAAGGAGGGTATCCCAGTTTAGGCTTCTATAATTCCCTCTCTTGTAACTGCACTTTCCTTCTCTTTCCTTACTTACTATGAGTTTTTCCTGCAGCAGACAGTACTTGAACTTGATTGCTACATGATCACTTTTTCCTAGAGAAAGGCAGTACTCTATATCCTTAATGCCATCTCTATGCTTTGTAATTATTAGGTTAAGCATAGACGGTCTGTTTAGCCCTCTTATCCTGGTATGATCTGTCACATTCTGGAAGAAACAAACTTCATTTACGACTTCTAGTAATTTTGCATCCCACAAATCTGGAATTTTTGTTTGGAGGGGGTTGTTTGTTATGGTGGTAGTGAAAACGTCGAACCTCCGAGACCGTACCGTATGTCCCTGGCGTTTGAGAGCGTAGACGACGTCCATGGCGGTGACGGTCCTCCTCTTGGCGTGATTGGCGTAGGTAACGGCGTCACAGATCACGTACTGCGTGTGTGTTTGTGTGTGCGTGTGTGTATGTGTGTGTTTGTGTGTGTGTGTGTGTGTGTGTGTGTGTGTGTGTGTGTGTGTGTGTGTGTGTGTGTGTGTGTGTGTGTGTGTGTGTGTGTGTGCGTAAGAAATAACTTACTCTTACAAATTCATGTTTTGCAGAACCTGCCATTGGCCAGAAATGCTCAAGGAACGACAATTGTTCACGTCTCTCGGAGGAGTGTGTCGAGGGCTCGTGTATTTGCAAGGAAAATGCGGTTTTAATGTTGGACCAGCGCTCTCTTGCTCCTAAGTGTTTACTGTGTAAGTATCATAAACTTGATATAGTATTCTTCCTGCATCAGCCTACTGGGAATATATAGGATACACACAGTCGTATGAGGTTCCAAAAGAGTGGTTAAAAAGGGTTCAAGTTTTATCCTTAACAACATTCAGTATCCGAGAGGGAAATGGGATTCAATTTTATCTATAAAAACATGTGTATATATATGTTTATACATACATACATGCATACATATATATATATATATATATATATATATATATATATATATATATATATATATATATATGTATGTATGTATATATATACATATATATATATATATATATATATATATATATATATATATATATATATATATATATACATAAATATGCTCTTAATATTTATCAGAGGGTGGAGTTATGCTTTTCAAGATGACGCATAGTAAGCGGATGAATAAAAATTCCACACCCTGTCGTATATACATACACACGCATGCAGGTGTATGTATGTATAAACAATTACTTAAAGCACGCAAGTACCCCTTGAAGTCAGTCATTTGCTACTTTTCTATTACATTATGACTGAATAATAGAAAAGTAATCTATTTCTCTGCTTCATTAAAACACATAGAGGTATGATTATATTTGTCTAATATTTGCATCCAATGTAAATTCCTTCCCTAATGTATTTGTAAATTTTGTCTTTTGACTTGTAATAATATGTCATTGCGTTTACCTTTTAATTCTGTGTTTTGTTTATCTATTTATTTTTCTATGTATAAAAAAGGATATACATCAGTCTTCAGGTTGGTTGACTGCCTCTCGAAGAAGGTAAAGGAGGAAGAGGAGGAGGTGGAGGAGGAGGAGGAGGAGGAGGAGGAGGAGGAGGAGGAGGAGGAGGAGGAGGAGGAGAAGAAGAAGAAGAAGAAGAAGAAGAAGAAGAAGGAGAAGAAGAAGAAGAAGGAGGAGGAGGAGAAGAAGGAGGAGGAGGAAGGGGGAGGAGGAGGAGGAGGAGGAGGAGGAGGAGGAGGAGGAGGAGGAGGAGGAGGAGGAGGAGGAGGAGGAGGAGGAGGAGGAGGTGGAGGAGGAGTAGGAGGAAGGAGAAAAGGAGGAGATACAGAAAAGAGAAAGAAGAAGAGGAGGAAAGATGAGTATGATGGAGTGGAAGATGAGAAGGTGGAGGAGGAAGACGAGGACGAGGAGCAGGGAGAGGAGGAGGAGGAAGAAGAGGTAGAGGAAAAAGAAGAGGAGAAAGAGGAAGATGAGGAGGAGGAGGAAGGCGAAGAATGGGGAGGAGGAAGAAGGAGAAGAGGAGGAGGAAAAGAAGAAGAAGGAAGAGGAGGAGGAGGAGGAAGAGATGAAGGAAAAAAAAAGAAGAGGAAGGAGGAGGAACAGTACCAGCAGCTAAAGGAGAAGAGGAAGATGATGATGAAAATGAAATAGTAAATAATAAAGAAGAACACGGAAATGAAAAAAAAAAGAAACAGAAGAATACGAGCCATTTCTAGATCTACAGAGCTTTGCACAGCACCTCAGGTTAAGAACTAAAACATCGATACATATATAGGCTAACGACCTATATAACGCATACCTTAAAAGAACCCTAAAAAATAAGAATCTGTGTAAAGCACAAACATCCGTAGATCTACATTTTCCCTTCTTTCTTAATTTATTGTTTGCTTAGTTTGAACAGTGTGATAAATAGGAATGTGGAGTGTAACACATAATCATATCTTGAAGCTAATCAGTCGGTGTAAAACTTAGCTGATAAGTTTTAACTTCATCAGTGAATCCTTTGACGCCATATAATGCCTGAATCATGCTATTTCAAGATGTCATATTGCTGTACACTAGCAGTTTTTTGCCCATTAACTAATCTCACACACACACATACACATACATACACACACACACATACACAGACACACACACACAGACACACATACATACATACACACACATACATACATACATACATACACACACACACACACACACACACACACACACACACACACACACACACACACACACACACACACACACACATACACACACACACACATACACACACACACACACACAACACACACACACACACACACACACACACACACACACATACACACACGCACACGCACACATACTCACACACATACACATACACATACACATACATACATACACACACACACACACACACACACACACACACACACACACACACACACACACACACACACACACACACACACACACGCACACATATATACACACACAAACACACACACACACACACACACACCACACACACACATTTATATATACATTTATTTATTTTATTTATTCATTTATTTATTATACACACATTTTCTTTTCTTTTTGTCTACCGATATGCAGACGACCTTATTTCGTGTATGATATTTCGTGTGTAAGTTCGTGTGCGTTTTTGTATGCGAGTGTGTGACTGTGTGCGTGGCTGCGTGGTTATGTCTGCGTGTGTGTTTGTGTGTTTACATATATGTGTGTATGTGTTATTTCTTTAAAGATGGCTATGGTTATCAGTATGGCCGTTATCTCTCTGAGTACCGCTAGAAACTCTTGTATTGTACAAAAAGTGAACAGTGTGTCTCACTACCGGTCGAAAATTTGATTGTAATGAAAATAATGATGATAATGATGACGATAATATCATTACTATTATTGCTGTTGTTGTTATAATAATAATAATGATAATAATAGTAATTATTATTATTATTATTATTGTTATTATTATTATTACCATTATTATTATTACTATTATTGTTATTGTTACTGTTATTATTATTATTGTTATTATTATTATCATTATTATTATTAATATCATTATCGGTATTATCATTATTATGATTATTATCATGATTATTATTATGGTGACCATAACTATTATTATGATCATCAATTATCATCATCCATCATCATCATCAATTATTGCTATTATCATTATTGTTATTATCATTATTGTTATGTTCATTATTATTATTATCATTATTGTTATTATCATTATTGTCATTATTAGTAACCATTATTGCTGTCGATATTGTAATCGTTATTATCATTATCATTACTATCATCATTGCCATCATTATTGTTATTATTATGTTTTTATTATTATAATTGTTACTGTATTTGTATTATTATTATTATTGTTGTTATCACTATTATTATTATTATTTTGATATTATTATTATTATTATTGCTATTTTTGCTATTATCATTATCATTATAATTATTATCCTTATGATTATTATTATAGCATTCATTACTATCATTATGATCATTATTTTTGTTGTTATAATTATCATTATCAACACTATCAAGATAATTCTCTCATTATCATTATTATCATCATCATCACCATTATGAATATTCGTTATCATAATCTTCAATCACTTATAATTCTTGTACTTACTCTCAGCTTCATCAAAACCTTGCGAAACTGATAACTGTCCAGAAAATAGTATATGTTCTGAAGATAAAACTTGCAAATGTGATGATGGATATCTCAACGTTGATGGAAAATGTAAAAGAGGTAAAAAGAGTTTTCCTTTCGATATACTGCTGTATAGAAAATGTGTTTATGTGTGCGTGTTTGTGCGCACGAGTGCATGTGTGTTTGTGTGCGCATTTGTGCATCTCT